GCGGCTGTTTTCACCTCCACAGAAACTTTCCCGGACCTCTCCGCTGCTGCGACGCTCCAACCAACCGCCCGGAGCCCGCCCCTGCCGCCTGCCCCGCCCCTCCCCGCCCCCGGCATGCTAATGACGGCCTTCGCTAGCGGTCGGATTGGGTACGCCCTTTTCTTGGGGCGTGGCCATGCAGATGAAGGTCGGCGCGCCGGCCAGCGATTGGCTGTGGCAGCGGCTGAGCCGTGTGGGAGGTGGCTAGAAAAGGCTGCGGGCGGTGCATCAAGTTCGGCTGTGCTCGGCCACTCTCGGGACCAATCAGGACGCTTTGAGGCCTCGCTGGGCGGAGCCTCTTAAAGGGCCAGTAGGCGCGGCGTGGCCTCCTCCTGCCGGATCCCGGAACCTGCGGTGGCCGGATTAGGCCCCGCTCTAGTTGCCATGGGGACGGCGGCAGGTTGCTAGGGAAGGGGTTAAGGACCTTTGGGGCAGCCGCCTGCCCCGGGGCAAGGTGGAACCTGTTCTTAGCACCCTGAAAACCTGTCGGGGAAGTTTCCTGTTTATTGACCGGACTTAGGTTCCCCGATGCCCCGCTGTGCCTGGCCCTGCTATGAGCCAGGGGCTTCTGAAGGCAGGAGTTGCTTTTCTTCTTGTGCAACAGGGACATTGCAGGATGTCGAGGACCAGGAGGATGAGATGCTGTGAAGCTGAGACCAGGAGCTGAGTCAGGCGGATCAGGAGCTGGGCTGCAAGCATTTGGGAAAAGGTGGTGGGACAGGAAGGTTGCTAGGACCTCGTGAAGATGGAAGAGCAGGAAGCTCTCCCCTGAGATCTTGGGGACCCCCCGGAGCAGGAGCCTGGTCTTCTCATGGCCTGGGCTGGGGCTACCTCTGCTCCCAGAATGCCAGTAGCGGTCACTGGGTGCTCACGATAGACCATTAGATTTTAAACTATCTGCCAACATCACCTCATCTCCCTCCACTCTCCCCCTCCTCCATGTTCCTCAAATATGTCCGTTTCATTCATTCCCACCTCTAGGCCTTTCCACTCGCTGTTCCCGCCTCCTGGCATGTGCATCCCCTAGATCTGCCTGGCTCACAGCTTGACCTCCTCAGGTCTTTGCTCAAATATCACCTCTGGGCGAGGCTTTCCCAGGCTTGTACCCCACGTCACACACCCTGTCTTATTTTTTCTCCATATGTCCGTTTCCTCCATCCCCAGCACCTAGAACAGTTCCCATAGGAGCTGCTCAATACATACATATTCGTTGAATAAACGAATGAATCCTTTCTATTTCTAAACAGGCAGGTGCGGCTGCTTTGTAAAACAGTCTGGCAGCTCCTCAAAGGGTTAAATAAACATGAAGCCACCATGCAATCCAATAGCTTCACTCCTAGCTATCCACCCAAGAGAACTGAAAACACTTGTCCACACAAAAACCTGTGCAAGAATGTTCACAGCAGCAAGATTCGCAATAGCCAAAAAGGAGAAGCAACCCAAATGCCCATCAGTTGATTAAAAGACAAACAAAATGTGGCCCAATGGAATAGTATGTGGAAGAGTGGAATATTATTGGCCATAAAAATGAATAAATTTCTGATTTACGCTACAACAGCTGTGAACCTCGAAACATGATGTTCAGTAAAAGATGCCAGTCACAAAAGACCACACAGTGCAAGATTCCGTTTATATAACATATCCAGAACGGGCAAATCGGTTGAGACAGAGAGTGTATTCCTGGTTGCCTAGGGATAAAGAATTAGTGGAATAGGCATGGGGAGTGACTGCTTATGGGGTGAGGGTTTTTTGGGGATGATTAAAATGTTCTAAAAATAGACTGTGGTGACGGTTCATGTGACTCTGTAAACATACAAAAAAAGCACAGAGTTGTATACTTTGAAGGGAGGCGTTATGTGGTATGTGAGTTAAATCTGGCTAAGAGGATGGATATGCCCTGGAATCTTGATGGATCCAGGTTCCAGATCCTGCTCTGTTGCTTCGTCAGCTGTGTGGTCTCCCATGCCCTGCTTGCCTCTCTCTCTGCTGGATTAAAAACAATCCTGGGGAGGCCTCCGCGCTGGAAGTCAGGAAAGACCTTCAGAGCCCTGCCTCTTTTGCTTGATTGACAGATTTGGTGTTGCCATAGAAACCATTTTCCACTCCCGAGGTACTACAAAAGGAATTCAGGATTCTTCCTGCACATCAGAAATAAATGAAAGGTTTTGAGGCTGATTTTGAAAGCAGTTTATAGCTCCTTGGCACCAAGAAAAATGCCTTGCTACATGGGTGTTTTCTAGGAAAAATAAAAGCGTATTCTTTCCAATTCATGTGATCCATACGCAGCCCCGCCAACGAGCAGCGTTTATGCAATTCTACTTAGATCCTTCATACGTTTATCTAAAAGAGTATCCTTTTTGCCCCCAAATTATAAATGGGTTTTTCTTGTCAACATGAAGCAGTCTGAAGGCGTATAACTTTGCGTTAGTTTCTTTGCATTCATTTCTGTGCTTCATTTGGAAGTTTTTTTTTTTTTACTATGAAACCGGGAAGAGTGTCCCAATTTATTGCCCTAGAAATCCGAGATCCATTAAAAATACAAACGAAATTTATTGTCTCACAGTTCAGGGAGCTGGAATTCCAAGATCAGGACTTGATCAGGATCGGTTCCTACCGAGAGCTGTAGGAGAGAAGTTGTTCCGTGTTGTCTCCCAGCTGCTGGTGGTTTCCTGGCAATCGTTGGCATTCCTCGGCTTGTAGAATCATCGTCTCACCTCTGCCTCTGTCATCACATGACGTTCTCCCTGTGCACGAGTCTGGGTCCAAATTTCCGCTTTGCGTAAGACACCAGTCATACTCTTACTGGGGCCCAGCCTACTCCAGTGTGACTCAACTCATTGCATCTGCAACCACCCTGTTCCCAAATAAGGTCATATTCTGAGATCCTGGGGGTTAGGACTTCCTCCTCTGAATTTTGTGGGACACCATGCAAAGCTGATCATATGCACACACACGCACACGTGCAAATGCCTATAAAAGATACGAGGTCGGATCTTGCTTTTGTGAGCGTATTCTCTCTTGCTGCAAACATCAACCTGAAATCTCCCTTCACGCTATAACCTTTCTCCTAGTGCCCTTATATGTTATAGGTGTTCAGACGCTGGCTGGGTGACATTCCTCAGCGGGACTGGACCACCGCCTGTTCAGCGAGTCCTGACTGATACACAGTGGGGTCCTTTCCCGTGTCACAGCCCTGGCTGTTGTTGGCGCTGGATAAGGAAATAGTCCTGACTCTGTAGGAAAAAGGCAGACGAATGTCTCCTCTCTGCTGTCTGCGGCCCATGGACTGCTTTCTCTGCGTAGGGAGGAAGTCACGAAATTAATGGGCCGTGGCCCTTCCCATTTACATTTTTAATGCTTATTTGCCAACATGGGGGTTCAACTCTTCTCGACCCCCAGGAAAAATCAGGGTGTGGATGTGTGCCGTTCTCCCGGGAGATGCCCCAACCCTCCTGGGGCTTTTTTCACATAGCGAATTTAATACAGAGGATCGTTTTAACTGGCGTTGAAAGGCTGAGAACGAAATGGGGAAGTACAGGAGTAGGTAGCAGCTGCTGGAATGAAGGGGCATGGGGACAGGGTTCTCAGGCCTCCGAAGAGGGTGCACCCTGCTGCTGCTGCTGTTGCTGGACCCTCAGATGCTCAGGGAGGTGGCACCAAACCCCAGCTGTGAGTCTTGAGCAACTCATCAAAACTGTCTCAGTTTGCCCTTCTGTGAAATGGGACAGTAACTACCTTCATGAAAGGATTTACTGAGTTTAATTCTCACCTGGCGCTCAGAGCTGGGCCTGGCTAGTCCATACTGCGTAAAGCCTTAAGCTACTCTTGTCCAACAAGAATCAATCCCCTGTTGCAGAGAATTTTCTAGTGCAGGGCTTTCAATCCAGGGGCGATTTAGCCCCCCGGGGGATACTGGGCGATGTCTAGAGGCCTTTTTTGGTTGTCCCGGTGCCGGAGGAGGGATGCTGCTGGCGCCGAATGTGGGGGAGGGCGGGGATGCTGTGACGCTCAGGACAGCCGCCCGCCACGTGCTCCGCCGCCCCCTCAGCCATCCTGTCATCTTAGGACTTTGGTGCTGAGCCTTGAAGCCCTTCCCCTGCTTTCCTCCACTTCCCCCTCCTGCACCGCTATCTCTGCTCATCCTGGGCCTGGGTCAGAGAGAGAATGAGAGGAAACACCCCACTCTCACTCCCCCCCACAACACTGGAGGCTGGACCCGGGCCACCAGGACATCTGATCTCTGGCCAGGGAAGAGGGGACGCGGGTTTGGCGTCGGACGGCAGCTGGGGACGCTCTGGGCATAGCAAAGGCTGTACGGATCGCTCCTGATCCCAGGCCCGTCTGTCTAACAGTCTGTCCTGTCCCAGGGCTGGGCACTCATCCATCCTTCTAGATCTCCGTCCCTCTAGCAGAGCGTTCTCTGATCCGCCTGGCAAATCCGACCCTGCTCTTACTCGGGGCAGGTGTGCTGCCCACAGCTGAGGCCTGCCTGGGAATAAGCCGCCCACTCCCACCCCATAGGAGTTTTTATCTGACCCCTCCCCCACCCTCTCTCAAAATCCCGCTTTAGCTCCTTGCTGACCTGGGGGTAAGGTCCTGACTCCTCATCTGCCATTCGGTCAACCTCCTGGGTCTTGTTCCTCCAGCCACAGCTCTGACCGTGGGGGGACTTGGAGTATCCAGCTCTGTCCCCCTTCCTCAGACTAGAAGTTTCAAATCTTCAGGGCTCCAACATTGCTCAGCACGAAGCCAGATCTACTGAACAAATGAGTCTGTGAAAACAATAAATGAATGAATGACCTGACTCAGAGGCGCCTCCCTGGTTGGCCCCAGAGTCAGGGGCAGCCTCTTCTGCCTTCCCCACAGAGTCAGGGCCAGGAAGTAGCTGGCACCAACAGGACCAGGCCCCCCGAGATGTGCTGCCTGCCACGGGGGGCTGCCCCACACGGAACGCTGATAGAAGACTGAACACAGAGCCACCGTTTTGCCTTGGGCCGGACCCTCCCCTGCCAGGGAACAAAGAACTCAAAGATATGGGAGGTGCGTGTCGCTCAGCCCTCTGGCCAGCCCTCCGGCTGGGAACGCCAGTCTGGAAAATGGCCGTCAAATGGTGTAAAATCGCCTAGGGGTGTCATGGGATGACAGGAGGCGGGGAATGGCAATGAAAATCCTAAACTGGGATTTTGCAATAGTCTTTCATCTTTAGAAATAATTTTTAGAAGTCTCTCATTTCTCTTGAAGAAATCTAAAGGGAGCGTGACCTACAGGAAGGAAAGAATTGAGGTTCTTATCTTTCCTTATCCCTTTATCTCCTCCAGAGCGGTCAATCCTTATCACTCCTCTTCCCCTGTTCGGTTCTCTCTCTCCAACCCCGCACCCCACCCACACCCATTGTTCAGGCTCCTTTTCATACAAGTGTGTGGTGCAGTGGGTGGTCTGCATTAGAGCTGGCGCTGGGCTGGGTGCCCTTGGGCTACCCGAGCCTCAAGTTCATATGGGGTTAGTGCTGGGGCTGGGCTGGGCGCCCTTGGGCTGCTCGAGCCTCAAGTTCATACGAGGTTCCCATCTGTTTCCCGATATCTGTGCGCATTTCTGATTCTCTGCCCGTATGTCCACCATCCAGTTATTTGACAAATATTTATTTTTTATTTTAATTAAACTTATTGGAGGTGACACTGGTTACTAACATGATATAAATATCAGGTGTATGACTTTATAATACAGCGCCTGTGTACTCCATTGAGTGCTCACCGCCCAAAGTGTAGTCTCCTTCCGTCACGTCACCATGTATGTGACCCCCTTGACCCTCTTTGTCCCCACCCTCCCACTCCCCTGCCCCTCTGGTAACCACCATTCTGTGGTCTCAACAGATATTTCTTGAGCTCCTACTATGTGCCGGGCATTGCTTGGGACGATGCGGTGACTTAGACTGCCCTGGTCCCTGCCTCCGAGGGGATCACAGTTCAGTGGGGCAGACAGATGGTTACAGCTGCAAGACGGGAGAGCAGATATTAGGTTGTAACGGGGGCAGCCCAGGGCACTGTGGGAGCCTAGAGTGATAACTGACAGCGGACTAGGGGGTGCTCAGAAGTCTTCCGGCCGAAAATATTAAGAGATGACACTTCTATCACTTTTAACACACATCATACCCACTCTAGAGCCGCGGAGACTGAGGCCCCACGAAACTAAGGAACTTGTCCCAGTTGGAACAGCTCGCGGGGGTGGGATTGGTCGGGAACCCATGATTCTGGCCACGCAGTTTAACATGGAGGAGGCCTGGAGGAGGCCTGGAGGCCCGGGGAGACCTGCGTCCAAAGCTTGTAGGAACTTGTGGTGACCCAGTGGTGGGTGGCCCGTTGGAGGAGACTGGGAAGGGGGCGAGAGCTCCGGCCGGCAGAATGCACGCACCTGACTCACTGTCAGGTGAGCACTGTGCGTCCCTCAGCACCCTCTCCCCTCTCTGGGCGTGCGTCCTGGCCTGTGAAATGGGAGAGGCTTGCTCCGCCTCCCGCCCAGCTGGGATGAGAAAACCCAGGTGGGGCGCTTGGCACAGTTGGCGCTCATTAAATGCCGGCGGGTGTTACGATGATTTATCCCCATTATTATCCTTAATGACTAATTAATTAGAACTAATACGTACTCTCCGCATCCGATTGTGTCTCTCCCGGCCGAGAAGTCACCGGACTCCGAGGAGTGGCGAGCTCGGGCTCGGGCTTCCCCGCAACCCACGCACGCCCCAGCCCACCCCGTTCTCCCCGGCCCATATGAGGCCTCATAGAGCTGCAGGCAGGCTGGGGTAGCGCGGGCCTGGAGGCCGGAGTCTGGGTGAGAGAGCCCATTGCGTCGCCCCTAACTTTGAGGGGTCCCACAAACCCCTAGCAACGTCGGGCGCTAGGACCGCGCGGCTCGGTCTGCGCGGGGTGAAAAGGCCAGGCTAACCCAGGAACCACGCCTACTTCCCCGGTGATTGGCTGTCGGGCCCCGGCGCACGGCCCCGATTGGTGAAAAAATCCGCTATTCACGGGCTGCTCCGCCCCGCCCCGCCCGGGCCTTAGTCCAGGGTCTTCTGGCTCGGCCGCCACAGGCGCTGTCCGCGGGCGGGGCGGCGGGACGGGGCGGCCGCGGGCGGCAGCGGGGAGAGCCGGGC